CCAGGCTGGAGTGCAGTGGTGTGACCTTGGCTCACTGCAACCTCTGCCTCCCAGGTTCAAGCAATTCTCCTGCCTCAGCCTCCAGAGTAGTTGGGATTCTAGGCACCCGCCACCACGCCTGGCTAACTTTGTTGTTGTTGCTGTACTTTTAGTAGAGACAGGGTTTCACCATGTTGGCCAGGCTGGTCTCGAACTCCTGACCTCAAGTGATCAGCCCACCTCAGCCTCCCAACATATAACAAATCTCTTAAATTCTTTCAAAATTTAGTCATATTTAACAGTTCTCTTCTTCCTGATCCTAACATTGCAACCAGTAATTTTTGCCACATAAATCACTTATATTGTTAGGTTTTTTTTAATTTCCTGACAGGTGCTTTGACCTCCAAATACATGACAAGTGAATACATTGTCTCAAAACTGCTTCTTTCCAGCACCCCCAAATTCAGAAGGAGTCCCAGTATATCAAGTATCTCTGCTGTGATGACGCAAGAACCCTTAACCAGTGGGTCATGGGAATACGGATAGCCAAGGTGAGAGAGTCTTTGGACTTCCCCTGTCTTGAATTTGCCAACCAACGTCCTGACCTGGGCACAGCTTTCCTGCTGCTGCAAAGCAGTTGGCCCATCCTTGGGTTCAGCCACAGAAATTATCGAGTTTATTTGCCCAGTGGGTTTTCTAAACGCAGGGAGTGATAGAAACATGGATCTCTGCAATAACTGGATATTTATTCATGGTGAGTGTTGCAAGCCTAGTATGCAATTAAAAACTGCAAGATGGAATCTATAATCGAGTTACATAAAGACATATGAAATCAGAATTGAGTGGCCAAAGCTCTCCTCTAATATGTAGTTGAAAAAATTAACTGACTCTGCTAATCTGAAAAATGACTGAACGTGTGAAAAACAATTTGTTAAATCTTAATTGAAATATCCAAAAAGTAACTCAGACCAGTGGTGAACAGAATAGCCATACAGTACTTTTTTCTTCTGTGGGTGTATGTTGCAATTGAGTGCCCAATTTGGGATAAATGGCTTCCTTTCCCTCTTCCTTTGTGTTCTCTCCCCAGTATGGGAAGACTCTCTATGATAACTACCAGCGGGCCATGGCAAAGGCTGGACTTGCCTGTCGGTGGACAAACTTGGGGACAGTCAATGCCGCTGCACCAGCTCAGCCAGCCCAGCTGTCTACAGGTACTAAGTGGAGGAGAAAGTCCAACATGTATTCAAAGCTCGGTGCTCCTGTTCAAAACATATCCAACACATTCTATAAAAACAGAACTTTGGCCGGGCGCGGTGGCTCAAGCCTGTAATCCCAGCACTTTGGGAGGCCGAGGCGGGTGGATCACGAGGTCAAGAGATCAAGACCATCCTGGTCAACATGGTGAAACCCCGTCTCTACTA